AGGAATATAATTGACCAAATAAGCATGCATCCACTGGGATTACAAGAGACAGTTACATCAGTGGCACATGATAGTGATTATTGGTTTGAATGTTTTTTATAAATACGCGTACTTTGCTGATACACTCACCACTTTTTCGACAGTCTTGGAAAGATTTCACAGCGGAGAAACTCTTGGATGCCACACACAATTAGAACCCCTCAAAATTGAAGACTGTTTAAGCAACGAGACACTGTTTCTTTTTCACCGTTGTTTTGGTTGAGTATGGTATTCCAGAGAATACTAATCAAAATGAGCAGCTAAACCCACTCTCTTTGTTTAATGCCCAGTAGAGATGTTCGGATAGGTGAAAAAGTGAAGTGAAATTACAGGAGCTGACCACTTGAAAATTTGAATGAAATTTGTAAAATCATTTCACTGAGTGAGTAGATACGAATGTGAGGTTCAGCCTGATTCCTTTTTAGATGTAAATAATTTGAGGCATCACTTCAATAATTTAGTTTATCTGTTATGTTTAGAGCTTAGGCTGATAATTTACTCCAGTGAAAGCTTTTTAAAACTTATTGCAATTCGTTATTTGGAAGTTTCCATCTCAGTCGTACATTTTCATCTACATGAATTCATAATAATAATGATAATTTACGTAATGTGTCTTGCGGTTAATGGGAAGTTTATTATTTTAAGGTAAGATTTATCACAAACTGACATCGGTTGGAAAACCATTGAAAACCTGGGAGTACTGGACAGCTTTTTCGTCTAGCGTAGGATTCTTCAATAGTACTCACCGACGACCTGGCTAGGGATCGAACTCAGGACCTGAGGATTTCGCAACGAATGGGTTCACCATTCAGCGGCTGGGTTAGAGTTCAATGGTTCACACTCTCCTACTTCCGTCAATTCGCAACATAGCGCTATTGTCGACCAAAATCTTCAGCTGGCATCCGCTTCTTTTATGACTGGTTGACCCCACAGGTCATAGCTTCCCATTAGAATTTTGGGATATCAATCCAGAAGCACGCCACTAATGAGCACTACATAGTAATGTATTTTGAGGTTAGGAGTGTAATTTTTAAGGACTCATTTATTTATTTGTCTTCAGTGGTTCTCCAACTGATGTAAGCCCGTGGTGAATACTACCTTAAAAAATAATTTAGATCTTTAAAAAAAGTTTTTGAATGATGGCTTAAAGAAATTTGATCGAATTCCGTCCACGTGTCATACTACTGTCTTTTCTCTCAGTAAACTTTACTGAATGGAGGAACATTATCATGGACAGTTTAAGTACTTTCAGGACTCATATCAAGAGTCCTCGTCATTTAACAGTCGAAAACTACTAGTCATGTTGTAAATTTGGATAATACTATGAGCAGGAAAATATTTTGTACTAAATAATTATCAACCTGAGTACTGAGAACTAGAGGTTGTTGTAACGGTTGTGCGACACGATATTGGAAATTATTAGTCATAGCTTATTAAACGATTGGATGAAAGACATTGGTGTAGATTGGTCATGGCCAGCCTATGTAAGGTGTTTTTGACATCCAAGTGAGGTTTCCATTTGCTTTTGAGAATTATTTTTTACCAGGGGTACAGAGTTGTGATGAAAATCACAATCTGATCTCTATGCTCCCCTGTATCATCCTTATCATGGGGAGGAGAAAAAATTAAGTTTATTTTGTTAACCCCTTAGTTTTTTATGCGGAAATCATTCACAGACTATCTGTTTATTAATCTCGATTAAAAAGTGGTGGATCTGTTACCTTAGCACACATTCTGGGTTGTTTTTACGACTACCTACTTCGTTCACTTGTTGTTGCATATGCTTTCGATATACTTTTCATTCAAGTGAAAAGTTGGGAATAAATTATCACTTAGACTTATGTTTTATTTCGTTAAGCTGTTGTCTATCATCAACCTTTTTTTGTATCCAACAGACCACTGATTACGTACTTATTCGCTACCTGACCTTAAGATTATCTTTTAGTATGAGGTAACCAGCCCATGTAGTCAGAAGTAGCAGTAAAATAGTTTCTGTTTTTGGATAGCAAAGCGGTTCTGATTCTTCTTCTACAAACTGATAAATGTCATCCTTCATCTACATTTTAATGATGTTTTTGTGTACGTGTGAATCTGCTGTTTCAGTTTACAAGCAGGTGTAAGGTGGTGTATATAAAAATAACAGGATAAAATCCGTAGAATACTTGAAAAAGTATTTAGCTTCACTAACGAAAAGTAATGATCTTGAAAAAAACCGTAGGCGGGTTTTCAGATTAATTGGCAGTTTGGTTAGTTCGTCGAAAGTAAGAACATAAAGGTTATGAACTACAATGTAACTAGTTAGTAGATATCATATATTCACCTAGTACACTTGGGTGCTGATGTGCGTGTATTAATATTTAGGACAGGAGCAGAGAAATACTTTTCACTTACAGTATCTCAGCATTCATTTTATCCCTCAAAATGATTCAGTAATTTTGAAAGAAACCTATTTGATTATAAACCACAACAATATATATGTGTATATTTGCTGACATAAGAAGTTGCAGACCAAAATTGCTTACGAAATTCGTCTTGCGTGTGGTTAGCATTGGTGGGCTTTAAAGGAGCTTAATCTTATAAAATAGAAAACTATATATGTTTGCCAGTGGTTTATATTATTACGTCACTATAGACAGACTAACCAATGTCGAAAAAACTAGTCCCGAGTGCTGTCCGGATTCCATCGATCAATATTGCTACATAGACATTAAATTAAACGACTCTACTTACTTGTACATGAGTTTTATAATTGCTGGCACTCATAAGAAAGGTTCATATTAAACCCAAAGATGACCAGCTTCTCACCAAAGGTTAGATTTCATTTCACTAGAGTAGCATAGTCAGTGAATTTGTGACCCAGCTGTGTGTGTGAATCAAACCTACTGATGCATCATACATTAATGCAGCATATAGAAGCAAATGAAGTCCCTCTAAACAGCTGGGGAAAAAGGGTAGCTGTTTTTTCTTGCTTGAGAACTTCCTCGAAGATCAGCACACTTACTAGTCATAACCAGAATGGAATTCTAGAAACCCACACTCATATGAAAGCAGGTTGACTCTCTTATCTTTAGTTGCATTTGAATTAGTAAACATGTTCGAAAGCATTCGACTCAGTCAATGGAGTTGTGTGAAAAGTTTTAGAAAGAGACATCAAACAGCTGGTCGACTGCATGTTAATAAATTCAGATGAAAGCCATCTTCTTATGCTCCAAACTTTTTCAACCCATTTGTTCATGAAGACATCAGTACTGATACTGAAATATGGATGTACATAAAAGTGATGACAACAATGTTTTGTGACTTAGTGAAATCAGATGGTGAAAACTGTATGTGGTGAAACCGCTATGACTAGGCGTACAAATACTCAGCATATTGATTACTTCTAGACCCTAAAGTCAAGTATAAATGGAACACCAAAAAATGAGTTTAGGCTAGCCTAACTATTAGTTAGTTGAATTTAGGTGCCCTTAATTTATCTACAGGAGGCTTGCTAAATATAGCTGAAAAGATATTTACTTCGCAAAATGACGAACAAAAGGCTTCCAAACTGGCTCAACAAAAGAGGAAAGGCTATCTCTGAGTGACTCAGAAACCACTTTAACAGTAACTGCAATAACCAACTAAACTTCTTGGTATTATGAAAATCTGCCCTTCCAGCAAAAAGAGACAAGTCTAGTTGGCTATATTTCAGTCTTGCTACTGTGGCCTTTAACTTTACTCCTACCTTTCCAGTTAGGATTAGAATTGATGTTAAAGACCCCTCTGGAAACTATCGAAATAGCCAATTAGGTTTAGATATTCTTGAAGAAATTATCCCCCCGGTGTAAGAAAGTAAACATAATTGGCTACTTCAGCAGTTGTCAGGGTGAACTTTTGATTCACTTTAAACTACGGCACATGATTAACCATTTCAGAAGTTATTAACATAGGTTTGACATCCAGTCCTAAAAATCCGCTGTTGCGTCTAGTTGATTTAACCACTGGTTTGCCAGCAGTACCTAACTTACGTCTATTGCTGTCATTTATGCTGTTTTTTCTAGTTTCCGTGTACTTATTTGGATCATAGCTACTTTCTGAGTAAGGTTTGTCAATAGCATACAACTGTTTGATGCACCTTTTTCTGTGATAAGAAAAAGCTAGGTTTTTACAATCAATAAATCTTTTTTAGGAATACTGTTCAATATGTATTTCCTTTCCTTCAAACCACCTCATCCATTTCCTACGCAGGAGTGCCGTCACTTCTGAAGTTAAGTGGATGATGTGTGTGAGAAACTTTAAAGTGAAAATTCTCAAAGCAAAGTGATTATTGACACAATGCGTAAAAGGTTTAAATAACTTGAGCATGAGTGTTGAAGTAAAAGGCTCATATAGTTTGTCCAGTAAAAGATAAAAGGTTGGTTTTGAGTGATTTGTATTTTGTAAGCTATTCTCAAAAAAAAAACGATCAAAACGCTTTCATTTTCATGTAGTCTATTTGAGCTTTTGTTTACCACAACAGATGAATATGATTTATGTCTGCAAACAAAAAACTCCTGCTTTCCGCTTTTATTGAAAACTCGACTAGTCCTACTCAGATTTCAAAGGAAACTGGGTGGTAAAGTAGTCAGAAAGTTTTCTACTTAAACCTACTCATTCATAACTTTGCGAAATTTCCATTTTTATTTCCAAGTGCCTCAAAGTTTGGCAGTATTCGATCAGTTGCGCTAAAACTCCTTACCAAATAACCTCAAATGGCAGTTGGCTCACTTTCTGACTGGTCATTCACTGAGCACCAGGTCTTCATTTTAACTCGTTAAAATACTTGCCAGTGCGCTTGCGTACAACTCAAACTCAACAAACCTGGTCAGTTATAATGTTCACTGTTTAATCATTTACAAGTGAATTAAAATTATGACAATCAGCTTATATGTTAGCGAATCCCCAGGGTTTTTATTTTTATTACAAAAGAACATTCAACTTACTTTGATCGTTTTATTCTGTAGCCTCATTTTATTGAGTCCACGTATTGCTCGTTCGGCGTCTGCAGCGTCTACATAATTCACAAATCCATAACCCAGACTTTGACCTGAAATATTTTTCATTATTTTTGGATCAGAATAGAGGAGATGAATGAGAAAAAGCACAAGTTAATTTCAGTTATTCAAGGAAATTTGTAAATTACAAATCTGATAAGTCAGAATGAAGAAATATGATGGAGGAGTAACAGTAAATTAAGAGAGTACAAACTAAACTATATGCAACAACAGTATAGACTATCCTGGAAACCTGTACGAGTCCCATTATTTTTGACCGTATCTCACTTACAATATAGGACTTTTAACGGCTTTGTAAATTTCAGATACATTTAGATAGACCTTAAAATGATGAAGATGGCTACGATTACTTTGAGGGCTTATTGAGCTTTTGTACTTAATCACAGGCCGTTCTTAACTGCCTTAGCAATAACTTTGTAAGGAAGTCTTCATCAGAGCGGTGACAATGCCAAACTATTGTCACAAGTTAGTTTCGCATTGCAAAAGTTAGGAAATTGCAGTTGCTGTAGAGCTCTACCTAATTTGATACCACTGAATTATTTCGCCAGCTCATTTACACGCCTACATTGAACTTCTCCAAACGGTCATGTAATCGAATAACACGTTAAGTGTTTCCTCTTGTAAAAAAGTCCCATCTCGTTGTTGTTATTGTAATATGACCGAAAAGATTTATATTCACTACAGAATGCATCAGACATAAAATTCGTCAAAAAACAGGCACTCTCTTGTTCACAGTCAATAAATCCTCCTGTAGTTCACTTCTCTCAGTTGTTTATGGGAGTGATATCTGAACACGTAACTTATGCCACTGAATTTCAGCCGAAAAATATCACTGAATCAAGTTTTACTGAGATATCATCATATATGCAATGCAAAACAGAAATCACAGATGTGTCAATACCATAAATGAAAACCAAATTACTGACGTGCTATTTCGATGAATGGTTTACATAGCTCCTCATTAACTATCATAATTTGAAGCATACTTCGAAGCCAAAACAGCTGATAAAAAGTGATTACAATTTGGGTGTTTGTGAGGAGTGATTGACTTCAGAGTAGTACTCATCACGAAACATCAGTTAAAGAACCACTGGAAGCCTAGGAGCGCTGGAAAGTCGTTTTATCTTGGTACGGGACTGGTCTGAAGTACACATCCATGACCCCATTAGGGATCGAACCCAAGGTCGTTGGATTCTGCAGCGAGCCCGTTACCATTCAACTACTGGGTCAGTACTTAGTATTCTACATTTCCCACTTCTTTCTATTCATGATATAGTGTGACCATCATCCAGTGCCATCGCTGAGTATTTGTCTTCAAGTTCGACTTGGTTTGCCTCACCAATCATGACTCTCATTAGAACTTCAGGAAATAGCATCCCGAAGGAAGTCACTGGTATGGACTGCAGAGTAATTCAATTCAGAGGTTTGTGGGGATTGACTGGTATCAAGGTAATATTCACTGCACTGCTGAAGATGCGAACGGTCGTCAAGGCTACGTTTAACACGCCACAGGATTGAACTTTGTTCAGTAAAAGAATAAAAGCATCACCAGTTGGCCATGCAGTAGAGGCTGTGCAACACTAAAAAGATCAAGTGGTCAGCATTCAATATTAAAGTTAGGTGTATCCATCAGTAAAGCTGACTCCATACTGGCAGGTGGTGAGTTGAAACAGGTCTGAGTCTGAGTGTAGTCGTTTTCGTTTGCTTTTCTGACACTAAAAATTTACTGTAAAGTAACCTATTAACTAATGTGACTTTGGTAGAGGTCCCAGATATACCTAATTAGTGTCTGCAAGGATATATCCACCTCAAGTCCACAGTTTCTGATAAACTGAACCCCAACACCTGACTTTAAAACTGAAGTGCATAAATTCCAGAATGATTCCATGGCATCACTGTAGAACTGTAGTTCATTGGTTTTGATGCTTGAATCCCAACCAATGAATCCCAGGTTCGAATCCGGCCTGACCTGCTGAGGATCAGACAGTCAGGTAGCATCATTAGCCCTCACAAAAAAGGTGCGGCCCATCTCCTACGGCATGAATGTGAACATGATAGCTGAGTGAATTTCATTTCGAATTATACTGAGAAGAGAATTAGAACCTGGCAGACTGACTGTTAAATAGTGATGAGGTTTGGTTGAATGAAATTTAGTACTTGATCGGCTTTACAAAGGCAATCAGATCAGATTCTATTTTCTAGTTACCGTATTTGACTTTCTGTAAGACATTTAGAATGAGTTGAAATATCTAATACTTTATTTGACCTGCTCTAATATTCTCGTGAACTGATAATAGTGTAAACTGCAAACAGAAATCAGTTTTCCAGGGTCTAAAGCCTGTCCACAACTAGCCTTTAACATCATTTTCTTTGGGAGTTATCCACACAACATACTGAGCTGTTAATTATTATTATTATTATTATTATTATTATTATTATTATTATTATTATTATTTAAAGATTCATTGGATGCATAGACCTAGCGAGAGTTAAATCTCATTCGACTGATTTCTTTTTGGCACCAGGGCTCAAATGTAAAGGTAACTAAATGAACACAAAGAAATTGCTGTGATTAATTGGCATTCATGTCATCCGGTTTGCAAGTGATCACATCAAAAAAACAATCGTTAGTGAGATAAAAACTTTGAAAACAGTGAAATTATCTGTTCACTTTCATTTACCTGTCAGTTTGTCACGAATCAATTTACAACTGACTAATTTCCCAATCTTTGAAAATAATGCTCTCATCTCTTCTTGTGACATAGTCTGAGGTAAATAATTTACAATTAGATTTGTTCGATTTTCATTGTTGTCACAAGAAATCTCGTTGATAATGCTAGACTTTTCCAATTCTGTTGGACTTGTGAACTGTTGTACACTCTCCGTATTGCTCTTACCGTTGATGTTACTGGTGGTGGTAGTGATATAGTTCATAATTTGTGAACAAGTTATTTCACTGTGGTTGTTGCTGTTGCTGATACGCATGGGATTTGAATTATTCTGGATGTGATTGGCCATACCTGAGGAAGGTAATGATAAGAAGATTATTTCACAGAGCAGTCCGGTTCACATGACAGTTGGCAAGATTTTTATTAGGGTAGGAAATTCGTAGATTTTTCGCAAATCTTAGGTGATAACTCAAATATATCTGTACACAGTGTTCGTTGGGTAATCAGTTGGTGAGGATTTCAGACAAAATGTGGGGTAGCAAGATACTGAATCCATTAACTTACCTGCACAATTATATTATTCATTCGATTGAATTCCATTATTGTTCAGAATTAGGATATCACATTGTTAACTGATATCTTGGTTCACTTAACTCAGTCATGCCATGAGTCAGTTGAATGAAAAGAAAAGTTTAGTATCTCAACTCCTGCTAACGTTACTGTTCATCTGTAAACTCCAAGCGAGTGATTTTATTTGATCTGTAAGTTTTTTTCCTAAGATCCAGCACAAAGTATTTGGTACCAGTTAGCAGTAAGAAATTAAGTCTTTAGAATACTTTCTGTGTAAGTATGTGAATATGTGAAGTTATTTTTCCAAAGAACAGGATCATACGAAATCAAACATGTGTTTTCTTGTCATGCAGTGCGAGTTTATAGTTCTGCATTTAGATGAGTTTCATCTGATTTTTATTCTCTGTGTTATTGTTTCGCTAAAATAGTTAACAGGGATGAGGGTATTCATCATGGACTGACATCAGCTGGAGAAACACTGGAATTTAAGAGCACTACATAGCTGTTTCGTCTTGGTGTGGGACTCCTTAGCAGTGCACATCCATCACAGGAATAGGAAATATAGATTATTGGATTGCTTGCTGGGCCGCGGAACCTAAGGCAATTAGGCTGGATTCCTGGTGTGGTCATGGGTGAGCAGCGCAAAGGAGTCCCATACTAGGATAAAACAGCTGTCTGGTGCTCCCAGGTTTTCAGTGTTTCTTCAAATGATGTCAGTTCATGATGAAATCAATATAATCCCCACAAACCTCCAACAGAATAAGGGTAGTTTGGAAGATCTCTCCTTCTGAGATGAAGGAATGTGAAAAAATTCTTAACAACCACAAAATTTTGGCTTAAGAAAATTTCACCTGGTGCTTAGATCGTGTCAATTCAACAAGTGCTTAACTCTGGCTGGTGTCAGTTGTCAACAGGCAACCATAGGATTCAGCACTATGCACTATAAAACCATGAGTCACTTCTCTAAAAATTCAGCTTAATAGCTTTTCTTGTCAAGCTAGTTCCAGTCAGAATCGGTTGTTGACGATTGGTTACTGTATACAAAGTGTAACTGTTCCTAATGAATTTAAAAAAATGACGAAATTCTGATTCACTCTGAGAATAAATTCAGACTGAAGTGTAAATACATTCCAGCTTCTCCGAAACAGAATTACAATACTTTGTTTTACAAGCGGAACGTAGAATTTATAAAGCAGGTGATGGAAACAATTTGTAGCTTATGATGAGGATGATGGTGGTTTGATGTTCTATCCTCATAAAGATTTCGGTACTGAAGTGTCACTAAGCCTGGTGATGAAAGATTCACGCCAAAATATGAAGGCTTAGACAACACCAAACCACCATCAACTTATAAAGCATGATAGTGTGTTGTCTTAAAAATACTCACTATTATTAGTTGAAGTGTGCTACAAGTCTTATGTAAATTACTGTAAGATGTATCTCTTTGCGACTCTTGAATTCACGTCAAATATACCGCTGCTAATTATCTAGAATAACATGACGTAAAGTTTTCAGTCATAAAGTGAAATATTTAAGCATTTACCAATCCATAAAAAAGGATAAAAGAGATATTTCCTAGTCATGAAAGTAAGTCTAGGTTACAAGTAAAAGTTTAATACACCTAGGAATAAATAGATTCATTTTTTCCTTCATGCGTTGCATTTATACAGTCCCGTTTTTTCTCTACTGTATATGCTGTTTTCATTTAAATAGACTATTTTTTAAAATGAAAATGTGGTTTAATTACCTAACAACCTATAACTTGTTATTCACCATCCCGACTAGTTAGAGAATCTCAAAGAGGCTTAATCATTACCTAGAGAATTCACTTCTTTTAGTCTTATCTCAAAGAGAGCACAAAATATAGAGAATAATCTTATTTATTTTGTCAGTAAAAAAACTGAAGTACACTGGAATATTGGCTTCGTTTCTTTGGTTGACTGTCTAACTAATTAATTAAGTTATGCCTGAATAAATTTTCCTGGTATAGATTTTGTGTTGCACATCACAATGACAGCTTATCAAGATACGATTCAATGATGCTTTTCTTTCTAGATGTATAAATTTCGTTGATGGAATTATACAAAAAGCTTTCACAGAGAAACAACCCTGGAAATAGTATCTAGAGGCAATTAGCACTTACAGTAAGAATCAGTACCTTAGTTTATTTAGGATCTATTAAATGATTCTACATGCACTAGGTTGAACAGAATTCGAAAGAAGTATTTACATGTCATATTAGTCCAAGTGACTATGTCGTTTTAATAAAAATGAGACTTCAAGGCAGTACTTATCACCGGCCGACATCGTTTGGGGAACCATTGGAAACTTGGGAGCTCTGGACAGCTGTTTAGTCCTAGTATGAGACACCTCACTAGTGCGCAGCAGTTTAATACCATTCAATACTGTCGTGAGGTCACCACAAACCTGCAAATTAAATAATTAGTCAGCGCTTATTAGAGACGCGCTTCAAGATGAGATTTCCCGAACTACTTATGAGAAGTCATGATCAGTGGCGCTGACCAAGTTGGACGTGAGGATAAATACTCAGCAATGATATCGGATAATGGTTGCCTCACATCACGAATTGACAAGAGTAGGAAAATGTGAACCGCTGGATTCGGACCCAGTGGTTGAATGGTTAACGTGCGCTGCATGAAACCTGACAGTCCTGGGTTTTGTTGCTGGTGGGATCGTGGGTAAGTGTTGTTGTCCAGTCCCATAACAGAACGAAACAGGGTCAAGTGCTACCAGGTTTTGAATGGTTCTCTAACAGATGTCGGTTAGTGATGAATATTACCTCAAAATCAGTTTATCCCCATAAACCTCGAAACTGAATATTTAGACTGATTTCTGACACAATAGGAGTGCAATGGATAAGCCTTTCTGTTGTAGTTGATACGTCAAAGTTTGTTGACAAGTGGCTAAACATTTTTATTGCGTTAAGATACTCAATAGTAGCCAAGTATGAACCGGAGTGTTAAATAGTACAAAGATAGATATCCGCTTTAGAAGCGAACTAGTCGTTTTAAATGATCACAAGTCAAAATGTGCCTTACTTCTTCTTTGAGGTTGAGTGGCTAGACCACATCTTACAGGTTATAGTAAACCTAGGAAGTTACGTGTGTTAATAGTGACAAGCTGTATGAGTTTTTGATGGTGACTAAACTGTCATTGATTTTGGTCTTTACAGAAAAATTTGGATCGTATGGATCTTAATAGCTCCTAATGTTTCAAATTCATTACAGGTTTTTTTTATTTATGTCAAGTGGTTCTAAGTATTTCTCTATTTGAATATGGTGTTCATATTAAGTTGATTACTGGAAAGTAGTGGTGAAGTGACTCATTTGAATTGAGAACTCTTCATCAAGTGACTACTATTAAATTGGCCCATCAAACTCTGGTTCTCATTTACGGCATGAATTACATTTAGCTTTTACTGCGCTATAAGGCACGTTTAAATCAGTCAGTAAATTTCAACACGGTACCTGACACTAATGAGTGATGTGCCAAGTTACCAAACCCCCTATCAGCACATCACGACAGAGATATAAACAGTCTGATCAAAAGTTGCACAAAGTCATAAGAAGAGAGAAGAGGGTTGCAAAGCTACTTCCCATCAGTCAGCTATTTTGCTTCTTAACCAGATGCTTGTGCTTAGTGTGATCAGAAACATGAAGTATTACAAATTAGGGATATTTTCTAGGTCAAAGACTGAGGAACGTTGAGTGCTGAAACTAACAAAAGGGGTTGTGGAATATATTTTAATGCAAGATAAAAGGATACTTTGAGTCAGAGATTGTAGGTTTACTAAACAGTAGATGGATTCACTTACAAAACTTGTGTACCACTCCCCAAATGGGTTATATATACTCTTTTTAAGAGGTTAAAAAACTCTTATTTACGATTCCACACCAGATTAGTTTGTATGCTATAGGATATAGTGAGTGATATAGTAATATTAAAGTTAATCTGATGCAAAAGGATTCTTTGTCATAGTGTCCTGGTTCTTTACTTACCTTAATTCTTAGTTATACATCTACCACTTTATTTGCAACTTAGACTTCCAGATAGCATCAGGTATCCTGTGGATAAGTTATATTCACTATATCTCTGATTGCAACTGTCAGACGTTGATAGCATGAAATTTATTTCTTCATTTAAGATGTTTATCATTCAGTATAAGGGATTCATAAAAGGAAAACTAAGTCATCTCACTTGCCAAATCCTATTTTCTGCAGCTTGCAAGAAGTAACTTGACTCTAACATGTAACACATCATGTTTCAATACAGTGAGGGAACATAAAAAGTAAGAGCATTGTAAATGATGCTGATGAAATCGCAGAGCAGTTACCAACTCAAGTTTATTACAAAACACTGCATCATCAACCGGATGACAGCAATGTATCTGCCAAAAGACCATCACATTCGTTTGGTAGTGGGTTCATAATCTTTTACCTGAGAAGATTCATCTGTGAAAGCTTATTGGCTTGGGTAGTCCAAACCTAATCAAGTACTATGAAACAATATACTGGTTTAAAAGAGTTTTAGAGAAGTAGTTATTTGTCAGTTGCTTACAATGACTGATAAACACAACGACTAATTACATAAAGCCTGTCTTTCCTTTAAATGTATGTAAATATTAAGCTTTTATTTATTTTCTACATCATTCATTCCCGTGTAGCACTGAAAGAATAACAGTAGTTACGACATTTAAGGCCTATTCCTGCAATAACCACTGAAGAAAATTCAACTATTCATTGGCATACGCTTAAGAATAA